TTTTTTTAAATATCTTAACCCTACTGTTAGACCTACCTGAAAAACTAAAAAGCAATTTATTTAATTCGAAGGCCTGTCGTTATTTTTTATTTGTGCTATCATTATTAATTTCTTTATTTGTTCTTATTTTATTACTGACTGCTTACTTGTCATTTTTTATTCAATTCAAAGTTTGAAATCAAGCTATCTCGTGCTACTGCACCAACATTACCCCACTGTAAAATTAAAAAAACACTGAGTGAGCAAAAATTTGTGAGATAGCTAGTTATAATGGTAATTAAATAATGTTTACATATGTATAAGAGCCTACATTAAAATCTGTCATATAAATTGGTCTCTTAGAAATTAGCCTACTGATTGCCACCATTGATAGACACATTTGTTTTTATAATATTAAAAATATCTGTATGACATTATATTCTGCAGTTCTTCCCTCTTGTACCGAATATCTATACTTTTCAAATTATCATATCGAAGTTAGAAATTCAAATATTGTGACAAAATTAATTTTGTAGGGTGCCACAAGTTTGTTAAAATTTCCAAAGGGTGCCGCGACAAAAAAAAGGTTGGGAAACACTGCTCTAACCCATCAAAGTAAACTGTCTTTTTGCTGCGAGCTTTCAGAAAATGGGTTAGCAGCCCAGTTGAGTTTATTGTGCCATTAGTGGAGTGATACACAGAAACATGACACTGATGCACAAAAGCATGGCTAAAGTGGAGAACAGACTGAAAATTAGATGTTATTCTGATGTCTTACAGTACTGTTTGACGGACAAGCCCAAACTTCTGCCCTTCGAGCCAGAGAAGACCTGCCAGCAGAAGTATCCCATTACAGAGTTCCAGCCAGTTTACTTTGTGGCTGAAAGTTTCGAGGATGCCAAAGAAAAAGTCAGGTAAAGTGACTGCAATTAAACCATCTCCAAAATCTTCCTTTCCCTCAGCATTTTTTCCAGTTATCTATGTGCTTTTTTGTTTTTTCAGGAAATTTGCTTCCATCATTCCCAGACCTTTCTCTGTGCGCTACAATGCCTACACACAGAGAATTGAGGTGCTGGATAACACACAGCAGCTGAAGAACCTGGCTGACAACATCAGCGGTGTGTCTTCAGTATTATGTAGCACTTAATCTTCCCTATATTATACAAGAATTAAGAATGAAAAATCAGGATTTTCAGAAGAAAAAAAAATCAGATAGGAGAATTCTCTACTGAAAGTAAAGACAACAGGAATGAGCAGAAAAAAAATATGATTTGAGAGTTATATTAAGGATTTTGGAAAAGTACACTGTAAAAAGTGATTATCAGGTAACCTAAAAATGTACCTTTTGTGGTTCCAAAAAAATGAACTGGTACAATTCAAGTCAAATAATATTGTTTACTATCTAAAAGTCAAATTGAATACGTTCATGTACACTCACAAGTAATCAGATAAGCACTGTAAAACTGTTTTTAGCATTATTTAATACTTTGTTTCCATTCAGTTAGTCTACTCATTTTTATTTTATAATTAAATTCAGAGTTCTGGACTCTGGACTTAATTTTCTTCACTTATGATGAAATTCAGGTTGTATTTTTACTTTTTACAGCAATTTTAATTTTTAGTTTTTAATTAAATCATAGTAACTTAGAAATAATTCCCTGAGGTAAAAACTGCACAGTGTCAATATTTTTTCACAGTTTTTTTTAATACATTGTATCTTATGATTAGCGACTAAACAAGCAATTTATGAATTCCAATTTTTTTTTTTTTTTTGACCTGGAGATTTTTTTTCTGTAGCCATATTTGTTATCTTACAGTAATATGTTCAAGTTTTAATTTAATCCCACATGGATCACAAATTGATGGGGTTTTTTTCTTCCAAGGTGAAATCTCAATCCTGTGCACTGCCCTGCGAAAGATGGAGTGAAACGATGTTGGAGGATTTTCGAGGGAAAAGAAGAAATGCTAGAAAATCAAAGACGCTTCATAAGCATCGTCTATATTGCTTTTTCTGCTCATATACAACATTTTCTAATCAAACTGTGATAGAGAGAGCATGATATTAAATTAGTCCTTATATATTGCATGTAGAACATATTTATAGACAAATTTTGCTAGTCCAAATATATTTAGCCACTATTAGCCGTATTTAAATGACATATAACGAAATAACAAAAAAAAAAAAAAAAACCTATGCAAGACAAATCGCATGTAAATACCAAAAATCTTCGGGCATTATCAGGCCCGCTGCCGCAATATTTGTTATTTTATATATTATATACTGTATTTTTCTCGGTAGTTTAATCGTACAAAAATACAGGTTGCCTACCGTCCAACATTTGCTTCAGCTGTTGCTACTTGATGTCGCACAATGTTGCTGTAATTTTCCCAAACAACCCGCAATCAATGAATCGCGGGATCAAAGGCTTGTTGAAACCATGTGTCGAGCGAACGCATTTGAGGGACGAATTATTTTCAGTATTAAATTGCTTATTTAAAACATGCGTTCATATGCAAACTAAAGCTTAGTGATTAAAATACTTACACGTAGCGAAATATAGTTAGAAGTTTCGCTTTGCTGTGAATGTAATTCAGAAAACTGCATTATATCATTCATCTATGGCTGTACTGAGGACTGAGATGTTATGCATGCATTGTCACATGTATTTAAAAAAAAAAATAAAGATATTATTATTAAAACTATTATTATTATCATCATCCTTTATTGTTGCCATTTATTATTTTTTAGAATACTAGTACTTGTACTAATCCTAATAATAATAATAATTATTATTATTGTTATTGTTGTTGTTATTTATCGCGTTTAAGGGAGCAGCATGCGTACAGCAGAAGTCGGTTTCAGTACCTTGGAGAGCAGCTCAGTCTCAATGCCGTATTTTCTGTATCATTTACGACCCTAAAAACAAAAGATACTTATTTATTTAGATATTTCCAATAAAGACTCATTTAGTGCTGACTTTTCGCACCAAAAAATGGCATTTAGTTTATGTAATTTGTCGCTTTTGGCTGTGAAGCACCTGTGAAATGTCACGTGTCACTGCTCTTATTTGGTGTCTGGAAAAGAAAAACACAAACTCGTGACGCATCTCAGCTTAAAATTAGACTTGCATTTACGCAACACATTTGCATAAAATCCAGCACGTCTGTCTATAAATTGCAGTGTTTTGACCCCACAGTGAACATAAGAGTTTTCTCCTCATTTAGGCAGAGTTGGAGTTTGGTGTCGACACAAAGATTAATTGGATATATTTATTTTAGATATAGTGGCTTATTTTTCCTCTAAGAATCGATGAAGACGGACAGTATAGTGCAGAATATTCCGCTGAGCGGCAGAACGCGCAGTCTGATCGAGGACGCGCGGCGCGACAGAGAGAGCGGCTCGTCATCTCCGGGCCCCTCGCGCTGCGGGGACAGCTTCGTGTTTGAGGAGGAGAAGAGCGGTAAAGTCACTCTCAACATCCTCTTTGATCTCAAAAATGAGAAAAACGCAGGCTTCTTCAAGGCTGGCAAAGTCTTTGAGGTACGTGCTTTTACTTCTTTCATTCATAAATTACAGTCGTGGTGACATTTTGTTTCAACTTCTGTAACGTGTGAAGAAAAAAGGAAAAGAAAAAGAAAAATGGGGGATTTTTCGAAGTTGTAAATAAAACAAAAGTTATTGGAGTACGTTTTACAAGAAAATACCATTTTAGTATTTCTGCTTCAAAATTTCAAATTTAATTCAATGTGTAATATGCCTTTTATCCCTGTAATTGTTTGGGAAATGTACAAGGAACTTCTGACTTCTGAGTGAAAATTGTTTTACACCATTTTTCAGTGTACCTTACTATAATTATTTTGCTGCATATTAACGTATTCAAAATCGAATTACCTAAACTGTGTTAAGTAAGGTCAAAGACAACCAGAGCTGTTGTTACAAATTTGACACCGACAGAAAACATGGGCAATTTAAATCTGTGTGTGAATGTATTGTGGTAATCAAATATATTTGTACAAAATAATTATCCCCATTGCCACCCCACTCTAAGTTTATTTCAAAATAGCAAACAAAATCAACACATTTGTGCAAATAAATCTAAAAAAAAAAAACACATAAAACAGGCTAACAACACTAAAAACATAACAGCCCATGTGCTGCTTTCTTAGTCTTGTCAAATTTGGCTCTACGTATATGCATTATGTTCATGCTTTTTTTCATTGTAGGTACCATAAATAAATGTTTTGTGATGAAAACATAATAAAAACGTTTGTCTGGCTTTGCAACTTAGACTTTCGAAGCAAAGCTCCTCCATTTGGAGAGTCGACCGAGCAGGAAGTCTAAGAAGAGCGGTGGAGATGATCTGGAGTTCTTCATGAAGTGTGAAGTGCACTGCACTGACACTGACATCTTCATCAACTCCATAAAAAGAGTTGCAGATGATGTGAGAATAGTGCAAGAGGAAAAGAGTAGGTGATTTATCTATTCCATATTACATATACTACAATCAGACATTTCTTTTCAACTATTTTATAATGTTCCTTTCATTTTATTTTAACATACAGTTCCTTGGTTTCCAAAGAAGATTTCTGACCTGGATAAATGCAATCATCTGATGACAAAATACGACCCTGATCTGGACCAGGATCACCCTGTAAGTGAAAAAAAGTGATGCTTTTCTTCAAACAGGACATTAATTACATTCAGAATGTTAGAATCTTAGTTCTACTTGCGTTGCATTATTCAGATCAATTGTTATACAAGTGACATGAACGATTGTAATATTCAGGGATTCAGTGATCCGGAATACAGAAAACGAAGAGGAATAATTTCTGAACTGGCTTTCAAATATAAGCAGTAAGTCACATGAAATTAATCAATCTGAAAATATATATATAAATTATATTACTGTATGAACTTCATTCATCAACTAAGTGACTATGTTTTAGGAACAGATTATCTTTCTTTTGTCATTGTAGTGGTGACCCTTTACCTGTAATGGAATACACTCCAGAAGAGATTGACACTTGGTAGGTTTTCCCAATTATTTTATTGAGTTTGATTGATGTTCTCGCTGTCAACTATATGTCATTATTTGCATTTCATATGTATAGAGAAGACTAGTGCGACCGCATGATTCTAAGAGCGCTTTTTGTGATGAGGCAGGAGGGAGGTCTACAGGACTCTGGGTGGTCTGTACCCCACTCATGCCTGCAGACAGTTTCTAGAAGCCCTAGGCCAGCTGGAGAGTGAATGTTTGTATGGGGAGGACAAGATCCCTCAGCTAGGAGAAGTTTCTGCTTTTCTTAAAGGTAAACAGGTCTGCTTATTTTGTTCCTGCAATAAAGTTGCAAAACTGCAGTTCATATTGACCATGTTCTGTGAATGTGTGTACCTTTGTTTAGAGAGGACAGGGTTTCAGTTGCGGCCAGTGGCAGGGCTGCTCTCTGCTCGGGACTTCCTAGCCAGTCTAGCATTCCGGGTGTTCCAGTGTACTCAGTACATTCGTCACCCTTCAGCTCCCATGCATTCCCCTGAACCGTAAGTATAGTGACACAGACCCATTAGACAACATTTCATTTGGCAAATCTTTTTATTGCACAATATTAATATTTTGACTTTATTTTACTCTAAACAGTGACTGCTGCCATGAACTACTTGGACATATTCCCATGCTTGCAGACAAAGAATTTGCTCAGTTTTCACAGGTATGTTTTTGTCCAGAAGTACAAGTTTGATTTCTATGCCACATAAACAGCTTGAAATTAACAGTTCAAGTGGGAAATGTGTGAATTTGGACTACTAACATTTATAATGCATGCTATTTCAATACAGAAAGATCTGATTTAAATCGTCAGCCTGTAAACCAATCTGTGTCCACGTAGTGAAATACTGAAAGACAGTGTGTATTTGACACTGAACATTTTACCCTGCAGGAGATTGGACTTGCCTCGCTTGGAGCACTGGATGAGGATATTGAGAAAATGTCCACAGTGAGTGCATCCTTATGGAAATATTCTGCTGGAGAATACTTCACTGAAGATTAGCGTATTAAAGCAAGTCTTTAGTGCCCCCTTGTGTTGTTTCATTCATATTACAAAGTCCAAAAAAAAAAAAGGTTAAAATGCCATTATTTATAAAAATCTGTCATTCTGTATTCTGTCATCCTGTAAACCATTTATGCTCACAGTATGTATGTACTATACTGTACATGTTAGTATGTGTAGCCTAACAAAACATCTCTAAATTTCACACAGCTATACTGGTTTACAGTGGAGTTTGGTCTCTGTAAGCAAAATGGAACAGTGAAGGCCTATGGGGCTGGACTACTGTCCTCATATGGAGAACTTTTGGTAAGACAAAAATAAAAAGCACTAATATGTTGGTTTGGAGCTCATGAAACATTTCTTATTATTATAAATGTTGAAAACAATTGTGCTTAACTTAATATTGTTAAGGAAACTGTGATTTTTAGGATTCTGTGATTAATAGAAAGTTAAAAAGAACAGCATTTTTATTTTTATTTTTTTTTTTTTAATTAAATGGATTGTATCTTTTTTTCCAGTACGCCCTTTCTAATGAGCCCCAATACAAGCCATTCAACCCAATTGAGACTGCGGTCCAACCATACCAGGACCAGTCATATCAGCCTGTTTACTTTGTGTCCGAAAGCTTTGAGGACACCAAACACAAGCTAAGGTGGGTGTTTTCTCAGATGATCTGTAGAAACCTTTTCACTGAGGTTGTACAAATGATCAGAAAGCCTCATTAGTGACTGCTATTGCTGTTGCTCCACAGGCAATATTCATCCACAATACAGAAGCCCTTCTCTATTAGATATGATCCCTACACTTGCAGCATGGAGGTTCTGGATGAGCCTTCTAAGATCCAGAATGCTTTAGGGCAGATGAGGGATGACCTAAAGATTTTACATAAAGCCCTGGAGAGGCTGGGACAGAAATAAACCAGAGTGCAAGATACAGTATCATTTATTTAAGGAAAGCCTTTCTGTATGAATATGAGTATTGCAGATTACATTGCATGCGGTATGGTGTTGAAATGTGTACAGTATATGTGTGTATTTGTGTCATTATCACCTTCAAATGTAATGAAGAGTTCTGTTTACCAAAATAATAAATATCTTTATTTTGACTACTGCTGCATTTTACCTTACATCATAGTTTCCAGTGTAGTGTACATGTATTGTTTTGACAAGACAGGAAGCCTGTTTCTGAATCATGACTCCAGGCACAATCAGCGAGTTGGGACAAACACCACACAGAATCCCTACATGCTGAATTTTGCAGAAACATTTTAAGAACTATTTTTGGTTCCCCAAAGAATCTTTCAGTGAACAATTAAAAGAATATTTTTTTCTTAGTGTGAAGAACATTTTAAAAATCTAAAGAAACTTTTTCAACTGTAAAGAACCTTTTGTGGAATGG